TCAGAGAAGTGTTAGTGCAGCATATCAACCACTGCCTGCTGAATCAACTCTGATGGAATTTTAGTTTCTCTTGGGACATTTAGCATGTGTCTACCACGATAGGTAGGTGGACAGGAAGAACAGCCTGAGACCACATAAAAGCAACAGCAGTTTCTAAAATTGTTTTGACTGTGAAGCAGATGAGATACAAGAGGGTTATGGGTAAGAACTGAAATGTATATTGTACCCACCAGAAATCAGAGAAAATGGTTTCTACCATGTAAGCTTACCATGTGTGCTGATTGCTTACTGTCTTCCTTATTTCCCTGCCCCCGTAGTCCTTTTTGTTTTTAATAAAACATTCTAAGTTTTATGAAAGACGACTGTTACAGCTTTTATCAGTTATGGTACAATTTAAGGAATATATTTGCTCTTTCTTCTAGTATTCTCAGGATACGTTGTATGAGTCATTATTCTTTTACTTCTCTTTTATGCCTGGTAGGCAAAGGCAGCCACTCAAAGCGTGTCTTGACATTATTTTCTCTAAGAGCAAAGAGCATTTCATACATCTTGCAGCTGTGCTCCAAATAAAAATGCATAATTTTGAAATATGCATTTATTTTTATTTTTACAGAAATTGTCACTCTCTATGACTTGTCTTCCTACTTAAGAAAGTTTAATTAATCAAGCTGTAATGAAAGACCTTCTCTCACTGGGAGGCTATTCTGGTGTCCAACATATTCCACAACTGTGTTTTCCCAGATCCTCTCTAAAATGTGCTTGTTTATAACCCTTCACAGACAATGTGGTTCCAAACACTACCCTAAATATTCACCATCATCCCTCTTGCTTCTAAGTATTTTCAAGTTATCATCACGTGCTCTTTGTAGCCACTACTTCCCTAAGCTGGAGTTTAAGTTTGTATACGGTAATGTAAGTGTGGGAGATATTTGGTGAACTGCTATGTATGGAGACCAAATATACAGCCAGCCATTAACTTTCTGTTTTATATATGTTATAAAAACCCTGTAATTTACAAATGGTAGAATCTTAAGCATACAAACCTAATTTTCATCAAACTATCACTTTCCTTTTATAGGTAACTTAGCTGTATATCTGATACATAAGAACAGAGGCCGTATACCCTTCTAAGCGATACAATGAAAATCACTATGCAAAATTCCTCTCACCTTTATTTCATTTTACTTGCAAGGCAAGGACATCACTGAAATCAGTTCTGGGACTCCAAGACAATTTCACCTGTATCCTTATCGTGGCAGCACCTTTTGGATCTAGTGCAAACGTGAGAGGTATCTGTTCTCACCACACTTTTTCCCAGCAGTCAATCTGTGATTAATATTGTTCAGCCTTTTGTCTCTTGCTTGTATTGGAAAGGATGATAAAACGTGGGAAAACTCTGGAGGCAGGTATTTCAGATAGCTCTGGATTAGAGATATGATCTGCATAAACCCTGCTGTAAATAAAAGTCTACTGACAATGAAACCCTTACCAAATGCACATGCCTTTCGAGAAACAAAGTAATCAGTATTTTTTCACATATGGCAAACATATTCCAGAGAAGCAACACAAGTAGCAACAGAAAGAAAGAACAGAAAGAGTAAGCCAAACCCCCTCTTCAGCAATTCTAGGCCATTCTTGCCCAAGTTAACCCAGAGGAAGTAAGAGGACACGGGAGCTTTTACAATAGTGACTGCATGAGCAATTCTCTTTATGGGAGCTTACTGTTACTAGCATACTTTTGCAGTACAAGAATTTCATTTTGCTATATACTGCTACAGAATCAGGGTGCTACCAGTCATTAGTTGTAGCTGGTTTGGGGGATTAAAACCAAAAGTTCTTATATTTCGTAATAATTTCATTGCATGATGTTTGTTTAAAAAAAATGAACAGCAGTGTTAATCAGAATTAACTGCAGGAGCACTTCTGTGATCTATAGATTTGGTAATTTTCAAGATAGAACTAAAAATACAGCCATAATTGTACCCGTTAATCTACTGAGAACGCTCTCATTTATCAGTTTGATCTGGTATTGAAAACAGAAAGCTACTTTGTCCGTAACCATATACCTAAACCAGTTCTCTATTTGCAGCTGGATTTTCACTGCTTTCCTGATGACCTCGGGAAGTACAACCGATTTCAGTATACAATCGGTTTTGGTCACTTTGCTTTACACCTCAGCCAAGTGTTTGTAAACAAAATTGTGACTTTTTAGACCACCCTTGGAGACTGCTACAGTGGCTGAAAAGGAGAGGCCAGATCCTTTTTTGAAAACTGAGCAATTATGAATCCAAAATCAAGCAATAAACTTTCTTGATTAGCAATAGCTGCAATCTATCTTACACGTTTAGTTTTAGGAACAATCATGTCGATATTATGACATTCCACAACGTACTATTTCATTATCATACTAAAACAATAATCACATTAGCAAGGTTCCTGTCTCCTTTCCTCGCATCAAGAGCTACACGCAGATATTCCTTTTAATTGCTTCCAGAGAAACGTCTGGTCCTGCCAATGCAATTGTAACAGACCACAGTGCATCTCTGGGTATACCTGACCACTACATACAGCTTGAATAGACTTGGTTTTGGGAAGTCAAAAAACCACTTCAGCCTGAACCATTACTGAAACAGTCTGGATTCACTAACAACTGTAATTGTCACACTGCAAGCAGAAGAAGGACTATGAGCTTACAAAAATCTGCTAGAATCAGCCACTTCTGAAAGTTGAATTGTATGTGTGATAAGTATTAGTAAGAACATGGTTCAAGACATCAGACACTGCCCACAGAAAGCAAATACTTAATGGTTTAGAGTGAATAAGAAGAAAACCCATTAGATCTGGACAGATAAGGACACCCAGAAAAATTAAGATAAAAGGTAGTCTATTTAACAGAAGCCAGCCTAACCACCACAACATAAACCAGAACCAGCTTTGGTGGAAACTTTTGTTTGATAAAGCTGAACATTTTTCAAGCCTAGCTATCTAAAGTTTTCATTGGTTGTTGACTGTACTAGTTCTGTAGAAGCATCACTTACAGTTCTTCATTTCTTGAGTTTGATACTTTCTCTTTGGGGTCTCAAAGACTCAATCTCTGCATTATTATATTGTGAAAGATACAACATGTTTTCTGTGGCTGACTGCAGTGTAAGATTCTCACTGATAATCTGCTGGCTTCAAGGGAAGTCTGCGTGCTGGCTTTAGCAAGACCTGGAACAGCAGTAGTTTAGCTTTTAGACTCATAAGAACAAAAGAAAAGCAACACTGGAACAGATCAAATATCCATCTCTGACAGCAACCAACAGAAAAGAGCGCAAGTACAGAAAGGCATAGATACTCTCCCAACTGTGGTTGCAGCACTTCCTGCAGAAGTGGCACCTCAGGTATATAATGGTCCTCAACAGATTTTTCAGATTAATTTGTCGAGTCCTTTTCTGAATTCATACACATTTCAGCATACGCTGTATCCTGTGCCAGGGAGTTCTGTAGCCTAATTGTGGACTTCATGAAATGCAGCATTGTTTTGCTTGTGCTGAATCTACCAGGTGTTAACTTATTTTGATAGCTGTTAGTTCACGTTCTTCAGCAGATAAAACAGTTGCCCCCTATCTATTTTCTCCATTTCACTTGCAGTTTTATAAACCTTTACTTTATTCTTCTCTAACTATAACCTGCAAATCATCTCTCTTCTAGGCTGAAGAGTCCTCTCTGTGTATCTAGTCACTGATCCTGTGTTGTAACTAACTGAATTGTTCAGTTGCTTGAAAACAAGAAAAACACAAACGTCCAGAGTGGTTTTTACTGCATCACTGGCTTGTAACTCACCTTTAGATTACTCCAGCTAATGTCAGCCTCAATGTGAATTAAGTTAAGTCAGAGTAGAGCCAAATTAAAACCCAAGTTGGTAACTTATTTAAAAGGATAAACAGATCTGAAGAAAGGATAAATTAATTTAAACATATTTCCACTAGAATTCTGAGCTAATCGATTTAGATTTTTTTTTTTAATACAGAGGAAAAGTGAAGCAGGAAGTGTATCTGTCTTCATCATTTCAATATCCACCAGGGATATGGAGCTACGACTGTCATTTGCAGTTTGACAACCACAGGAAACTCTGCCTGTAAAGAACCATGTTCAAAGGAGGAATGTAATAGCATGATTTCATCTCACGCTGATAAAATTCAGACCCTGTGCACATCACCTTTGCAGTTCTGTTGCAAGTCAGACATCCGTTTAAAGATGTCTTCACAAGAGCAGAAGCTATGACACATCTGCCTCTGTGGGAAATTACAGAAGTTTGCCAGTTTAGAGTCAGTTACAGAAAGTTAATCAGGCAAGAAACTAAGTTGTGTTCCAGGAAAACGCAGCATGCGATAGACTAGGCTGACATATACCAAGTAGGAAGGTAAGCCCCATACCTCTTGGGGCAGTCAGTAGAAGCAGCAAATATTTCACATGTGAATTATCAGATCAGGTGGAAAAAGGTGCATATGAAAAGGTGGTTATAGTGAAGAAGGGAAAAAAAAATCTCAGAGAAGATGGAACGCCCTAGTGATTACGATGGAACTGATACAAAATTTACCATGCCAATCACCTGTTGGAGATATTGTGCAGCTGGCAGATTAAGTGGTAAGTGCTGATACAAAACCATAGAAACATGTTTTACTTGCCTTTATGGTTGCACAGACTAAATAAGACTTACTGAGCTAAATTAATGCTCTCCTAACAGGTCTTTTCGGTATACTACTCATAACCCGCACAAGCTCCTAGCTCTACTTGGGAAATTTAAAATGTACTTATCCCTAAATGAACTTCTCGGTCATGATTTCAGCCAGTTCAAAACAGCAGCAAGGGATAAGTTTGAAATCCAACATTGCTATCATTTTCTAGGACCACCGACACAAAGATGATAAAGGAGTTCAGTAATGCTATGCTCATTCATTAATATGTCTGGAAAGCCACTTAATGAGAAACAAATCTAACGTAACAGGAGCACTAACCAGCGACTGTCGGAACAAGAAACACTTCTTTGGGTCAATACCACAGGCAAGGACGGCAGCAGTGGTGTCCAGTATGTTCTGGCGCAGGACAGCTGGCTCCTTGGGCATGGTGAGAGAGTGCATGTCCATAATGCTATACAGCACTGAGCTGCACTCTTCCTGCAGATTCACCCAGTTCTGAATGGCTCCAAGGTAGTTACCCAGATGAGGCGTCCCAGTTGGCTGAATACCAGAGAAAATCCGATCCACGACCATATTCTGTTACAAAGCATTGGTAAAATTAACACATGCAATTTTTTTGACAGATTCTTTTATATTTTAAAGTAATTAATAAAGCCTCACTTACGCCTGTCTGTTCTCTCCTTCTGTCAGTGTATTAATGAATAAATTACCTCAGGATTGACTAAAAATAATTGCAGTCAGTCAAAATACTCTATCTTACTGCAGAGAGACTGACAACTAGCATTAATTTTAAGCTGTCAGACTGCATATGCAAACAAACATAGCTGTAAACAAGATCAGTGAAAACTAGATCTCAGAAACCAAGTGGAAGATTCTTTCATCCTTTTTTGCACCGAAGCTGTGTTTCTCTTTAGTACATTATCCACTCTGATACAGAAACTTAGGATCACAGCATAGAGAAATGCAAACATTTTTGTTGTAAGCACATGCAATACCCAAGTAGATTGCCATCATAACTCCCATGAACATCGAAGTCTTATTTTTCTAGCTGCAAAGAGCATTTTGAGTGGTTCCTGAAAGAAACCTAGTCCTTGACCCAATGGTCAAAGAATAATGAAAGAGATTATCAAAGTTCTGAAACTACCCATCTTGGCAGCAATAAAGTTTCTAAAAGGGCTCTACACAGAAATACTGCTATAGCTCCAGATCACACCTGGAATACTGTGGATGCATCAGTACCAGTAAAATGTCAACATCTGAAGAGAGTTCACAGAGAAGCAGCAAAAATGATTAAGAAGCTGAGGTTGTGAGCAAAGATTAAAAAGCTTAAAACATGTATAGCTTGGCTAAGTGACGGTTACCATCTTGGAAAGTTTGTTTTCCTGCATCCCAGCCCTCCATCTGACCATTTTCTCACTGCCCCAAGCTGTCAGCATATGATCAATTACCTCCCCAACCTTTCCAAAGAATTCCACTGTATTCAGAAAGTAACTCAGCATGTTTTATGTGAAAATGCTTGTTATGTGCCAAGTTGTAAGAGCATGCAAGACTGCTCAACTTATAAATGAGGGTCCCACCAACCTCAGCAGGGAGTCCCAGTCACAAAGCTGCACAATACAAACCCTCAGACTCTGTTGTGTGGCAGGAACATCAGCTTCATTATGCCTCTGGCTGCATGATTTTTTTTCATGCTAAATTTTATAAGCAACATCTATAACAAAGTAGAGAGAATTTATTTACTGCTGTAGTCCGTTTTCATTTCTGTGAATCTCTTACAAATGTACGGATGAGAAAAAAAATAATGAAGTCATACAACTATGAAACCACACAAAATGGCAGTAAAAGTCAAGGCCAAATTAATGAGAAAGTGTTTCCAAGTGGAATAGGACTTTTTTTTTTTAACATGATCTATAGTTCAGAAAAAAACTAGCCAATTTCCTTCAAAATCTGCTGAAAAATTCTCTTTGCTTTCAAAGTAAGCCTGTTTTTCAGATCAAGACCATTTTCTTATCCAATGTTTAAGTGTTTGTGCTGACAGGTAAGAGCAGGTTTGGGCTAGCAGCATGCTAATTTCTCCTGCTCACATAAATGCCTACACATTTAAGTCCAGGCGGTAACCCCCTCACCCCATCCCAAATATCTGCTTGACTTCTAGGTATATTCTTGAGTCAGTTCCTCGGTGCTCTTGGAACCAGCACAGGTGCTGCAAGGTAGTCACTGCAATGAAAAGCACACCATTTCCTCCAACAGCAATTCTAACTTCCAGTTCTCGTGCTCCAGTCCTTGACCACCCATGCCTCTTTTCTCCATTACACAAAAATGGAATTATGCTGCTCAATTCCTTGTTTGCCATTTGATCCCTTGTTTTTCTAGGTACCTATATCAGAGCATTCATCACCACTCGCAGAAGCCCCTCGCCTCCCACTAAGCTACTACCTGGCCCAAGGACTGCAGTCAGTTTTTGTTAACACTGAGAAGGGCCAGGTGCTCACCTAGAGAAGGAGGCATACAGAATCCCAGCATACATAAATTAAATGAAGTCTTGTAGAAACTCAGGATTCTCTAGGCTTCAGAGCTGTGCTTCTATCATTAAGGGCGTAGAGCAGTTGCTAGGCAATGCAACAGGTACTTCACAGGCATAACGTGTCTTTTGCGTCCCATGTTCCTGCTCTTCACCAAGAGAATAAGAGCTCAAGAAGAAAACAAGGCTATAAATAGATGATCACTAAGACGGTGTTCTGTCCCTACAGGGATCCCAGAACAGCTGATTCTTTGTCAGAGCACATTTCCTCTTCTCCTCTCCCTGTCTCCCCTCACTCAGTTCAAATCCTGATGCTCCTTCCCACAATTATTTCTCCCCACAGTGCTTCCTGCTTTCCACTGCCCATTTATACGCCTGTTTAACCACACTTTTCTACACAGGCTATGGCTTCTTGCAGCCCTACTCTCCATTTTCTTATCAGATAGTTTCATCCCTCCCGTGTTCCTGTATTCTTTTCTTCCTCCACTTATGCTTCCCCACCCCCTGCTTCCCAGAAGAGCTCTTGCATGGTATATCAAGACAGTAAAGAGGCACAGAGTATGCCATATGGTAAGGAAGCTATTACTGCCTTGACTCCAGTGACTTTATATAAAATATGTTTCCTAACTGCACTGTTGGAATAGCTAAGAAACTTCATGATGCTCTAGAAATCCACTATGGATGTGCATCAAATAAAGTATGTTAGGATGACCACATTAAAGCATTCTGCAGAAACTTGCACATCTTTCAACTGCAGTCTAGACAAAGACAGCATCACCTGGAATGTCTCCTGATGTTACTGCTTCTTTTCCCTGGGACCCTGACGCTAGTGCTACTTCAGTGCAGAAACAGCTCTACCCCCTGGGGTAACTGCCTGTTAAGTAGGAATCTCTGTGCAGTCAGCACAGATCAGCTCACGCACCAATACCTTGACCCAAAAAGAGCTGGCACCCTGAACCTGTGGAGAACAGTTCTGCCTACAAACCTTGTTGGTCCCCAAGTCACGCAGACTCCATTCCCCTGCAGCCACAGTCCCTGCTTCATATGCTTCCAAGACATGTTCATGATCTGCCTTTTCCTCCTTCCCAGATCACTGTAGATTAAGTCACTATGAACATATCTGATGTACTGGCAAAATTATGTCCCCTAATTTGAGAATCATGCACTCAAAGAAATGGTACAAACGCAATAGAGACATTTAGGCAGGTAGTGTGAGAACATTTTTCACCAAGAAAATACAAGATATCAGTGTTTCAACATACACTATACATTCAAATTCTGTACTAACTCCAAATATTTGAAGGGTAACACTGAGCTAGTTAAAGATAAGTTTATTGTAACACTACATAAGTTAGCATCTGTTTACACACTACATGTTGGAAAGAAAACACCCAAGTACAACGTAAAATGGACACAGTTTCACATAAAGAGATAACAAAGTTCTCTGTCTATCCAGTGAAGAGTATACCTGTGAAAGCAAGCATGGCATCTTTAATGGTGTTTGTACGTTCAAATGGTAAACAACTACTTATAAAAGGTTTGTTCAGTATATGGGCCATACATATCAAGTTAAACATGAGAAACAAACAGTAGCAGTATTATACTGAGTCTAAGGCTCAGCAATTACTTAACCTAAGTATGGAATTTGCAGAAACAAGTAAATCCAATAAGGAAAACTGAGCTAGGCTGGACCTGGGTAAAGCACTAGCAAATACATTATAAAGAACAAACGCACACAGGCTCCCAGCTGAGGGACCAGTTGACTACAAGTCTTTCATCTTTAACTCCTTTGATTCCATTTAACAACATAAAGCACGAGATGTTACAGCAAATAGGGTGGTATGAAATATTCCATTGCGTTAGCAGAAGTCTATATTAAAAAAAGCCCACACAAAACACCCTTAAATGAATCTTGGATTTCTAGCACTAAAAATATACAGAGAACATTACTCCTTTGGAGAGAGTTTATGTTCCCTGTTTGTTCACTCTGTGAGAAGCAGCGGGCAGCATAGCAGCGTGGCAGGGGAGTTCTGCCTGGTACCATGAAATCATGGGGCTGGAATGCACTTCAATGGTCAGGGGATGGGAGCTGTGTGCTCGAAAGTACTGGAGTTGGAAAAGGATAAAAACAAAAGGAGTGAAGACTTCCCAATGGAGCAGAGTGAAAGCCACAAGACATGCAGCTCCAGCCCACAGGCACTCACTCATTCAGACATCTGTAGTAAGCACAGTGTGAGCCTGCTGTTTGTATGTTTAACTCTGTGTGGTATGTGCACCTACACCAGTAGTGCTGCATGTTAACCTTCACTCCTGTTAAGAGTGTAGTATCTGACAGATGTTTTAACATCTATTATTTGTTTTCTCTCAATAAGACTTCTACATGGCAATTCCAAACTTCACAATGCATTTCTCAGCAGCATTTTAAATGAGGCTTGGCCCAAAACCCATTAAGATTCAGGTGTTCTCTTACCTAACCTCCTTTTTCATGATGAGATGAACAACTGCTGCTCCTTATACTCAAAAACTGTCAACATCCAAATGTTCTCAAATAATCAGGAATAAACATTACATTCTTGTCCCAGAGCAGGATGGCTAAAGTCTGGCCCCGACACCCTGCACTATGGCCACATCCATTTTCAATGCAAAAGAGTACACTGGAAAAGATGACAGCTTCCAAAATCCAACGCTGCTCTCTTGGACTCAAGCAAAGCTTATGTCATATGCCACACCTGCAGTAAGGAGAGCTACAATTGTCAAGGCCTCAATTCAGCAGTCAAAACCACACTCATTCCCTACTCATGAGACAAATGCGCCAGAACTAGAGAAGACACCAAAGTTACGAGAGTTAAGGAAATCCTATCTGCGTGTCTCCTAAAGACCATCACAAACAGCTTTATTTTTAAAAGGAAAGGTGTTAACAGCATGCTTGTCTAATTGAAAGAATTTTATGAAATAACATTAGTAAAGTCAACTTGATGCTGTTCAGTTATATAGGGAAATGTATGTATCGTACACAGCTTTCTCATGTTATTAATAACATGGGCAGACTGACTTCAAGACCACTGAATCTTACAGCTTTGAAGACCACCAAATCTTTAAAAGAAACATGCAAACTGCCTAAAAATTTATACTCGCCTTAGACTGAGTTTCAGTTTGCTTTTTGCCCTTAGTGGGCCAAACTATTTCCACATACTAAGCATGGTCAGCCATTCTGTATCAGAAAACAACACCTTTCATTATTTATAGGAAACCTGGAGAAGGACGACAATCAATTTTAGGGGTTAAAATGTTCATCTCAGAAAGCAGACACAGGAATCTCTTGTCTGTTAAAGAGCACCCAGAGAAGCTTCCAAGCGCTTCCCCAGCCCAGCAGCACTAAACCCTAAAAGCAGCTATGCAGTTCTTTGGATGCTGGTAGCTGTACATATTGCATTTCCAATTGTGTTTAAAAGCTTTTTGCAACCTCCAGAGCAGGATGCCATATGCTTCTTAAACCATCTGCAGATGGTTTCACAATAAAGTTTCTCTATTTCATTCCATGACTTTCAGCTGACTCAAATTTACTTTGTTAATACCCTCTAATTTAGACATCTGTACAATTTGAGTACTTATTACTCTGAGATATATATATAATTGATATCTAAACAACACAACAGCTACAAGACATCTTCAAAAAAACTAAGGATCTACCCAGGAAAAACATTTACAAGCTTAAAAATTGAAATTGAAATATTAATAGTTACTTTAGAAAAATCTGTGAAAACATGTCTTTCTTAAAAATTAAGCATTAGAGAGTCTGGAAAGTAAGAGTTCAAGATTCCTTTAAAAACAAGCATGGAAGTGTACAGCTAACCATAATCTAGCATTGTTTTTCCAAGCTAAAAATCAAGTGGAAAGTAAAAGACAATCCCATTGCTGAAAGCATTTCTTTGTAACACTGACCATAGAGTTACAGGGCTCCTTCCATGAGCTCAACACCACATCTGCAACATTTAGAATGGTAAGTCCCCCTTTCATTTGTATGAGGAGCTACCTCTGCCTCCTTTAAAATTATAGCAAGTTACCCTTTTTCATTTTATTTTTACATTTTTAAAGATTTTTAAGACTTCACCAGGAAGATTTTTTGTTGTTTTTCTTTTTAA